ATAGAATAGAATAGAATAGAATAGAATAGAATAGAATAGAATAGAATTCTTTATTGGCCAAATATGATTGGACACACAAGGAATTCGTCTTTGGTGCATATGCTCAGTGTACCTAAAAGAAAAGAAACATTCGTCAAGAGTCAAGAATCATAAGGTACAACAGTTAATAATAGTCATAGGATACAATAAGCAATCAAATCATACTAGGAAACAGTCAATATAGATCATAAGGATACAAGCGACAAAGTTACAGTCATACAGTCACAAGTGGGAGGAGATGGGTGATAAGGAGTGATGAGAAGATTAACAGTAATAGTAGTAATAGTTGAACAGTGTTGAGGGAATTGTTTGTTTAGCAGAGTGATGGCTTTTTTGCAATAACCTTCCCCTGGAGTGGGGTAGGAATGGAGATTATACAGTATTCTTCCCCTGCCCTGCCCACCAAGCCATGCCCACAGAACTGGTTGTAAAAAAAATTTGAATCCCACCACGGTCCTGCACCACTAACTAGCCCTAGCAGAATAGAAAGCTATTAATCATTTTTTCTTCCACAGTAAACTTTTTAGGATAAAGTTCAGCAGATCTTACTAGGAAATTCCCTCCTTCCTCTGTTAATTTGGGGAGTTGTTTAACAGATCTCACCCTCCATGCTCAAAGTAATGGAAGGCCTTTATATAATATTTATGGTAACCTGTCAAGATAATAAGAGAGAATTTACTAGTTTAAACTTGACAGCTTGTAAGAATGATACCTTCAGCGTAATCATCAGGGCAGTCGTTTTAGGCTGTAAGATCTGAGCCAATTTGCTTCCGAGGGAGGCTGCCCTGTGGTCCTCCATCACTTCTGACTGTCAGCAGAATTCCTTAATGAAGCCCTACCTAGAGCGTGCCATTTTTTTTTCTGCAGAGATTTGACGGCTTGTGCGCTCAGACATGAAAAGATGCTCTTGGTGTGCCAGGGTGCTTGTGATTTGACATGGCTGCCATTGCGCTATCTGAGTCACAAATGTAATTTGTCCCGTACTGCCTCCTTTTTTCTTCTGATAATTTTTTTTTAAAAAAATTGGGCAACTAATGCGTTCTTCCGTTCCTGAAATTCTTATTTTAAACCCCCCACCAAAATACCATTGAGCGGATCCATCCACATTGTCCACTCACCTTTTAATTTGAATCTTACACACAGCAAATATTGGAGGCAGTACAGGTAGTCCTTGACTTACAGCAGTTCGCTTAGTGACCGTTGGAGGTTACTACGGCACTGAAAAAGTGACTTAACACCATTTTTCACACTTATGACTGTTCCAGTGTCCCCATGGTTCCTATCAGAGGTGGTATTCTGCAGGTTCTGACCAGTTCTCGAGAACCAGTAGCGGAAATTTTGA